CGCACGGCAGCCCGCGGTGCGGCCCACGCGGCACCGGCCCACGCCCGTGAGGCGGCCCGCGGCGAGGAAGCCCGCGCGCTGGCACTCTTGCAAAAACGTCCTCATGTTATCAAACAATAGCACAAAAACTACACGTACTATTTCTATAGACAGCGACTTTGCAATGGAACCCTTGGATCTTTTCAGCTTCGCATCAAGAGGTCCTCGAGACGACCCGCGCTCACCGACGCGGCGAGCGGTGGCACTAGGCGGTATGTCGGCCACCCGAGACCCTTGTAGACCTAGCTAGGGGACCGATGCTCACCTATGGGCCGACGCGCGATGAATGGCGATGGTTGCACGAACGGGAGTGAAGCAGAGCGGGCTCTCCCCATCGGCGAGCGACCTGCAATAGCGGCAACCGTGTTCCCGTGAGCCACAACACTAACAGGATGGTAGAGATAGGGAATAAGCACCAGGGGCACACCGCGAACCCGGCCGAAGTGGTGGTTCGGCCAGTGACTACCTAAGCAGTGTTGGCCACGTGCGCGCGACAAGCACGACGACAAGCCACGGTGGACATGGCCGCGTCTGCGGCAGCGAGGAGGCGATAGCGCTCCCATGGGCGTGTACACAGTTGATAGGGACCCAGGGCGAGCTAGTGGTGCAGAGAAATTTACGCATGGTGAAGTGGTGGAGGCTAGCCGTGGCGCGGGCGATGATGGGCCTTAATGGCACGGTGGCGGGCAAAGCTCCAAAATTGGAGCTCAGGTGAGCTGCAATCAAAGCGGGGTGGGGGCGACTAGAGAGGGGGCGTGAAGGCTAAGACGCGAGCATGAGGAATTGATGAGAGTTGCTCGCTCTCTGGCTCACTGTGACGCGACACGACGACGGCAGAAAGCAGAGAGAGAAGAGAGAACGGCGCGATAGGTGGGGTTGGCTCGTCCTTGCCTTGTGGGACGCGAGCGGTGAGATCGAGAGACCCACACGTTAGCGCTAGCCGACAGGCACGCGCGCTCCCGACCGGCATGGCCCGTATGGCCACAGCACCTTAAATGACAAGGCAACGGTGGCTCGCCCACGTGCGCGCGGCAGAGGCGACATGCACAGGGCCAGCAACAGCGCAGAGGTGCAGCAGACCGGCGTGGACATGATGATGATGCGATGGCAATGCAGCGTCGTGACGCGAGGAGTGTCGGTAGTGCTGGCGCGACGGCAACGTAGCACGGTCGCGGTGACACCCAAGACAGCAGCGCGAGGCAGAGCAGCAGGGCGTGGGGCCAGCGGCTCGCTGCGGCCGGCCTCGGCCAAGCCTAGGCGGCTCGATCGGCCAAGCACGGTGACACAGTTGACCGCATGGGACACAACCATGTGCGTGGCGTGGGAAGGCCACACGGTGACCGCGCACCCGGTGCCAACCAACCCGAGACATGTGACGCGCATGAATTTTAAAGTGCTCAACACGACCAAACGGTTGCTTCTGTACCTAAATCATCTTCATTATGCTCAAGATGGCACATGAGACTACCAACTCGAGCTATAACACTACACCAACCTTTAACCCAATCTCTTATAATAAATTGCTAAACATAGCAATGTTTAGCTGTTGGTAGACTTGAAAATTTCTAAGTTTTTGAGCTGAATTTGATTTCCATTTGCGATTTCTAAGCTAGTAGAAATAATAGCTAGTAATATTATTTTTTGACAGCAAGTATTTCACTGTCATCTATAAAGTTTGTACTTCCAACTTTATTAAGGTGACACATATATGTTCTATAGCAGTTTTGCTTAATAAAATTTGGTTTTCAACCTTAAATGATATAACATGACTATTGAATCAACTTTTGTTTCGCATTTTTGTTGATCGTTTTGAGTTACGGAAATTGATCTACACACTTTATTACATGCATTAACACATAAACTTGATGCTTATGACATATTTTAGTAAATGATTTACGGTGTAACACCGTGGGTGTTACATATGGGAGGCGGGGAAAATGGAAGTCTAAGCACCATATTGAGACCGGGTCTCAAGTGTGGAGGCTTGGAGTCTAAGTTTGGATGGGGACCTAGACCCCGTGATAGGAGTAGAATGGGTTGGTTTTGTTTGTGCCTGGGGTACAAACGAGGCGTGTGTTTCGGGGTACCCAGCTGTGATACATTGGTTCACGAATCACCGTTTCCGTGAGACGGTACAACTTGGCTATGGTCTAGCACCGTAGTAAGAACTGAAATATGAAAGATGATAAATTAGTTCTAATTGCTCAACCCTTGCTTAAAAGTAGAACAGGTGCTTACTTAGAATGGTTAGCTAATGAAGTAATCATGATTGCTAATTAGACTTGATCTTTAGGACGCACTTTAAATAATGCTTTTCGCAAAAAAAAATAGTAAACCCATATTGCATATCATATCCCTTTGAGTCGGAAAATTATTCCCACTAGTCGGGTAAATCTTGCGAGTACATTGTGTACTCATAGTTTATTTTACCCCGTTGCAGGTGCAGATTGAGGAGAAGCTCTTGTGTGGAGGATTCTTCTAGTGGGCACAGACGGATCCTTGTATCGTTTTCGCTACATGTTTATTTTCATTCCGCTGTTTAATTATCGCAGTCTGAACCCTGGTATTGTAATAAATAATTTTTAAAAACTCTTGTTATATGAACTGGACTAAATATTGTAAGCTCGTACTCATTATTGGATTCTGAAGGTAAAACATGTATTGATTCGAGTTCCCCCGTGGGGTGTGCTCGATGGAACTGTCTGATGTAGCTAACTTTTGGGGGTGCTTAGTATCTAGTGAAAGACGAGCGCATTTGAAAACGTGTTATTTCGAACGGTTCTGCCATAAAACATAGTGATGCTTTGAACATATCACCATTGTAGGTCTTATTAGACGAAAGAAAAAAATCATCTGACACCAAATACTTGTCCAAATACGAATACTGAATCTTCTACACCTAAAAAATCCCAAGAACTATCGTCTGCTCCCCCGCCTCTGCCCCGCCCCACGGCAAAAAAACACCTAAAAAACCAATCCCTGTCTCCGAAAAAAATACGGCACAAAAAAATCATCTCACCCGTGTCCGTTCCTTAATTAATTTAATGTTGCGAACACGAATTAGATTAGGAGTGGGTACGAGAATAGAAAGAAATACGGTGTTCCAGATATAAAGATGCGAGGGAGAAAGAAAAGGTGGAAGGGCTTAATACTTTTTGAAATAGATTGGGGTTCATGATGCAAAATGTCTAGATCCGAATGGTCCTCCTAGTGGGCTTCTTTTTTAATCTGGGTTGAATCCTTATAGTTGGGCCGACTTTGTTGTGGGCTGGACCAAGCCCATGCAAGTCTTTTTTTTCTTTTCTTTCGTTTTTCTCTTTTTCTATAAAAACAAAGATCTTGCAAAATTCGCTAAAAATTATAGAAAAATCAGAAAAATGTCAAACCAGTTTTGTTAGCTTCATAAAAATGTGATATATCCATAGATGTTATGAATCTTGTTAGGTTGTGCTTTGTCTATAGGTGTGTTAAATCATCCTTACATATGTTGCATGAATATAGGTTCGGCGATGACCGAGAACGTGCTAGAGGCAGATCCGGAATACGCGAAGGTGGCCGAGAAGTACGTGGAGGATGTCCTCATCATCGGTGTTTCTGAAGCCTTCACTAACTTTTCGATGTCCGGTTCCTACCCAAGGAAGCCCCGGTGTATAACCCCTACTTTTCAGTATTTTTTTCTCCCGTTGCAACACACGGGCATATTCCAAACCCTCAATGACCACATGCAAACATGCACGGAAAAAAACACCCCTAGAGTCTGGATCGACTTCGTGAAATAGAAACGTCACCAATACACTTTACACCAATAACGTCAGGTACTATGGAAAAAAATACTTTACACCAATACGTAATAGGCGAGGACTCTCCTGCCTTAGATTTCTTTAGTTTGGATTTGGACTTCCACCATTGCCAGGTCTAAGCCCAGGGTAATACCTTTTTCCATTGGGTTCAATTTCAATTGCTAATTAGGTTTAAAAAAATTATCAGCAAAGTGTATCATGTATATTATCTAAAATCATGCCGTGAGTTAATGGTACCTAGAAAGAGGATCCATTGCAGTGAGTTAATTGATTTTATATTTCATTAGGCAATAGATCCTCTTCCTCAGTACCCATTAACTCATAGGTGATAAAGATCGTTAATTACAGAAGTATTGAAAAACGTAAAATCAATTTTGTTAGGCTTTTATAAACTGGATCTATGATATAGGTGATAAAGATTATAAAACAGGCTTTATATTTTTAATGTAATTAAATTCGTACATTTATTAATTAATATGTTCGTCTAAGTTACAAGCCACGCTACAAGGGCTAAAATTTGTGGTCGTCGTGCAACGCACAGCCGTATATCTAGTAGTTTAAGAACTATAAGCAGGTGTTTGAACTTTTAACTACGGGATCTTAGCGATTTATTTGGGTCCACCTGACCAACTCACTCAACGTATCCAGCAGAGTGCATCCCCAATCAAGTAGACGTACGTTCAGGTAGAATCAGCGGCTGCAATCCATTTAGCTCGAAACCCCTTGTACTGCTCCAAGACCTTCCCCACGTCCGGCATCACATTCTTCACGGCGTCCACGGCCACGAACCGATCCGCCCACGCCGCCAAGCCCGGGAACTTGGCACCGTCCAGAAGGTTGGTGCCTCCCACCTCGTCTACCACTCTGATCCAAACCAGGTGGCTCCCGAGCGCGATGTCCACGATCCCGAAGGCCTCGCCGCCGAAGAACGCCTTCCCCTTGGAGCACTCCGTGAACGCCCGTTCCAACGTCTCCACCGCAGGGAGGGCGTTCTGGAGCGCCTCCGCTCTCTGCTCGTCCGTCAGCGATCTGAACAGCGCCCTAAACGCCGGAAAAAACTACAAACAGAAAAGGAAACTGTAATTCTGACTTCGGGTGCGAGGCCGAAAATCGATTCATTTCCTGCATCCTGCTTCAGCAATGATATCATATCATATATACCGTGTCGTTGATGTAGGCCGCCCAGAACCGTGCCGTGGCGCGGTCGTAGGGGTCGGACGGGAGTAGCGCGGGACCGGTCCCCCGCCAGATCTCGTCGATGTACTGCAGGATCACGAGCGATTCGCACACCGGGCGGCCGCCGTGGATAAGGACCGGCACCTTCTTGTGCACCGGGTTGGACCGGAGCAGGAGCTCGCTCTTGTTGGCGAGGTCCTCCTCCATGTACTCGTAGCTCAGGCCCTTGAGCCCCAACGCCACCCTCACTCGGATCACCCATGGGCTCGACCATGTGCCCAGCAGCCGCAGCTCGCCCGCTCCTATCCCACCTCCTGGCGCTGCCATTGCAGTTGCAGAGGTTTGCTTTGTGTTATCATGTGCCGCTGTCTGCTGGGATCCAGTTGTATATGTACGGTCTGAGGTGATGACCAAGCGGTGCTTGTTTGATGACTAGCAGCAGTGAGTCGAGAACTCGAGATTCATGTGGACAACTTTGGAATTTGTGGGTGGTCGTTTCTCCTCCACCGCTTGGTTTGATGACTAGCAGCAGTGAGTCGAGAACTCGAGATTCATGTGGACAACTTTGGAATTTGTGGGTGGTCGTTTCTCCTCCACCGCTTGGTTTGATGACTAGCAGCAGTGAGTCGAGAACTCGAGATTCATGTGGACAACTTTGGAATTTGTGGGTGGTCGTTTCTCCTCCACTCGTCAGTCGCCACTGCTTGTTGGAAAAGAGGTGCCGCGATTGAGCCAGCGCTGTCGTGTCGTGTCGTGTGTTTAGGAAAGGAGGTGCTACGCGCCCATTGTATCCGTGGAGGATCTGCGAACAGAGTGAACGGTGGGAACAGCAGTTTCTGAAAGTCAATGCTTCTTCCAAGTTCCATAAGAGAGTGGACTATTGTGATTCTGTCACACTTCTGTATAACAATCGAGTGGCCACGCAAATTGTGCTATTAGCCTGTTTTATTATAATATTTAGGGTTTTTTTACTTGAAAGTAATATATGCAAATAGTTTGTTTATTTTTATTATAATTGTCCGTTCTATCTGCCGTACTGTGCTCATCAACATATATAAACTCCGTTTAGGTATCATCGCTAGATTTGTCAGAATGTTCCTAATGTCTAACGGAGCCACTTCTGCCTCAAGTAGCTAATAGTTGCCCCTCTCATGGCAGCAACACCATTAGCGCCTCAAGCCTTCCCAAACGAACTGTGGACTATTGTTGACGCCAATCAACTGCTAATCTTAGGCATGTTACGCACCCGTACTGTTGTGGCCATGTTGTTTCCACTTATGACCAACTCGTTGGGAAGAAAAGTCGAATGATGTTCGTTGCACTACTTGCGAACTTCTCAAGATCAATGGACTAATTACACATAAGATATCAAAAGTCAATATGTCTTTTTGTGATTTCAGCATAAGCTAGGTTGCCAAAACTTGTTTCTGCCTAACCCACTTCCAAGAAAGCCATTAGATCTGAACGAAGATTGTTAGAATTGATATGGGTTGTTCCATTAGGTTGTTTTCCCATTCATCGGCATTGTTAATAGTGATGCCATGACTTTCTTGGCAGTGAAATTGGGGAAGAGTGACTCAGTGAGTTTAGGGATACAACGAGACAATATGTTGAGATGGCAAGACATAAAGCATAGTGAGGAAAGGAGCGGCATATGGTTCAGAGGTGGTTCAATGGTTCTCCTTTCAGTAATGCTGTCCGGACGGACGGACCACCTCGCCCGCACTGTTTGCCCGTGCTGCGCGCTGCACGCCGCCCGACTCGTGCCTCCCGCTGCGGTCGTGCTCCATCCGCCTGTCGCGGTCACTGCCGAGGTCCGTGCCGCCGATGAGCTCCATATCCGTGACCTCCGCGCCACTCCGTGGTATCGAGCCCTGCACCAACGAGCCTCCATTTGCCTAAGCAACAAGTAGATGAGCACATGTTGCAACTGTATGTTTTATGCGTTTCAAATGTATATTGCATATATTTCATCTAAATGTTGCATGCATTTCATCTGCATATTGCAAAAGTATATCTTGTGTTGCATATGTTGCAATGGCTATACACGTATGTTGCAAATATATGTTCTAAATATTTCAGCCGTTTCAGACGTATGTTGCAAGTGTTTTATCTGGATGTTGCACGTGCTACAGTGCTTTATATATATGTTGCAAACATATGTTTCAAATATTTCATCTGTTTCGGACGGCAGCAAGTGTTTTTGTTGCGAGTGTTTTGTAATCGGGCTCAGGAGACAGGCGCAGCAGCGCGCGAGCGTCTGGACACGCACGTCCAGGCTCTCGCCTTGCCATCCTTTCACCAGGGGAAATGATTGGGCAAGAAACTTAGAATTATTGAGACGGTGACGTTTCCATTTTTCCAAGTCGTTGCAATTTTTTTACGTCAACACACACAGCACTGTCCTTAGTGTGCTGACTGCTGAAGGAAGGAGGTAAATCACGGGCGTTTCTGCAAAGAAAGGCAGAGCATGAAGCGGACAGATGGCGGGTGAGTGGAAGGTTCATGTGCTGATCATGAATCGGATTTGGCCTGAGCAAGTCAGGCTCTTAGCTCTGCTCGAATTCGACTGTATCGATGTCAAAGAAGGATGATGCATTGATCATCTCGCCATTTGTCAATTTCGTAGGTCTTATAGACAAAATAGCAGATCACTTGACACCAAATACTTCTCCAAGTACATTACTCATAACTGAGCAGGTGTTTGAACTTAAGTAGTGGGTCTCAGGGATTTATTTGGCCGACACCGACTCACTGAAAGCAAGTAGACACACTGTGTTCAGCTAGAATCAGCAGCTGTAGCTGTAGTCCATTTAGCCCGAGACGCCCTGTACTGCTCCAAAAGCTTCCCGGCGTCCGGCACCACCTTGTTCACGGCGTCCACGGCCATGAACCGCTCCGCCCACGCCGCCAGGCCAGGGAACTTGTCCCCGTCCAGAAGGTTAGTGCCTGCCGTCTGGTCCACCGCTCTCATCCAAATCGGGTGGCTCCCGAGCGTGATGTCCACGAGCCCGACGGCGTCGCCGCCGAAGAACGCCTTCCCCTTGGAGCACTCCCTGAACGCCCGTTCCAACGTCTCCACCGCAAGGAGGGCGTTCTGGAGCGCCTCCGCTCTCTGCTCGTCCGTCCTCGATCTAGAAACATGAAAGAGAACGGCTAAGTCTGAGAGCCCGAAAAATCGATTCAATTCCTGAATGGAGTGCCATACCTTGTCGTCGACGTAGGCCGCCCAGAACCGTGCCGTGGCGCGGTCGTAGGGGTCGGACGGGAGGAGCGCGGGACCGGTCCCCCGCCAGATCTCGTCGATGTACTGCAGGATCACGAGCGATTCGCACACCGGGCGGCCGCCGTGGATAAGGACCGGCACCTTCTTGTGCACCGGGTTGGATCGGAGCAGGAGCTCGCTCTTGTTGGCGAGGTCCTCCTCGATGTACTCGTAGCTCAGGCTCCTGAGTCCCAGCGCCACTCTCACCCGGAACACCCACGGGCTCGACGACTTGCCCAGCAGCCGCAGCTCGCCATCTCCTACCCCGCCTCCAACTGCTGCTGTCTGGCGGGGGTCGAGTTGTATATGCGTACGGTCCGATGCGATGACCATTGACCAGCCGGAATGCTAAGTTTGACTAGTAGCAGCTAGTGAGGTGAGTGGGCAAGTTGGAATTTGCATCTGACCATTTGTTCTTGTCAGTTACGGCGACTTTTCAAAGTAAAAATGCACATTTTTTTTTGTAGAATCAACCAATCTCAAATTTAAATTAATATATAATATAGAAAACCAATTGATAGATTAATCATATCATATATTTTTATAAAAAAAAAGCAGTTTGCTATACAAAGGTTGATACTTATTTTCTATAAATTTAGTTAAATTTGAAATTAGTTGACTTCTTAAAATATGATATTTGCATTTATTTTGGTACACAGAGTATATTATTTGACCCTTACTATCTCTGTTATAGGAAAAATATAATTCTTAAATACTGTTATAATTTAGCTAAATTTATAGAAAAGGATATTAATATGCAATATACTAAATGTATCATTAGATTTGATGTGGAATATAATTTTAGAGTTACCTATTTAAAGTTATAAATCTTGATCTTATTTTCTACTCCCTCCGATCCAATTTATAAAGCATTTGCATATATCAAGAGTCAAAGTTTATAATCTTTAACCAATAACTTGACCAATAATTGTTAACTACTATAATACAAGTGTGTTACTATTAGATTTTTTAACTGGAAACCGTGCAGCATTGCTTCCTAGCCTTTTATTAAAACCAAAACAAGGACATGTCACAGAGAAGCGTCTGTGTCTGTAATTGGGTCTAAAAAAAGTAGCGAAGAGCTAACTAGAGAAGATACCTGTAATTACAAGAGCTATCGAAGGAGCACTAGAAGAACTTAGCCAATTCATGATCTGACGATGCAAGGGTTGGGGTAAGAGATACAAATGAAGCTTCACTTCTTGTGCAAAAAAAGAGCCTTCCACGTAGTGATCGAAGGCACCTTGTTGTTGAAATATATAGGCATTACACTCCTTCCAAATACACCAAACAACAATCATAAAAGACTTCCCATGAAGAAGGGATGTTGCGAGGCATGCCGTTGCTGAGGAAACATCTGCAACAAACTGCCGCAGGGACTATTGAATGCCAAGCTTGAACCAGCGTGTTATACTAGAAGAACATTTAAAGAAAAGGTGGAACGATGTCTCTCCAATATCATCATGGCACATAACATAGTTATACCCTTTTTCCAGAAATTTATTTCTTCTACGCAAAATATTTCTTGTATTGAGACAATCCTCAAATAGAAGCCACGTGTTAAACTTGATTCTTGGGATGCATTTGGATTTCCAGATCCAGAGGAAGGGTGAAGGCGGGATGATGACAACAAAATGATGCTTGTGGATCTGCCACTCTGAAAATTAGAAGAAATTCCCTGAGAAAGTTCACTGTATGCCATTCTAGACATAGGCAACCTAAAGAGATCTAGGAGATCTTCTGTCCGAAGTGATTTGTAATCAATTAATTATACTGTCCAACAATCATAAAAATATAATTATAAATAACATAATACTATAAAATAAATGAATGATTAAAGTGTAATTTAGACATGTCATGTCAGAATGTGACTTATAAATTGGACCGGAGCAAGTATATAAAATTAGTTACAGTAAAAGTAGTTTGACCTCAACTAGACCTAAAATTACATATTTTATGAGATAGAGGGAGTACAAGCAAATGATGGGAATTGGAGGCACAAGACACCTATTTGGCCATTGCATATCTACATAGGTTTCCTTTTTTTGGTAACAAGGCTATTGTTGGATTTTTAATTGGAGTTGTGCCAATTTTATTAAGTTAAAATCAAATAAATTCAATACATAGACGATAGATTAAATACTAGTTGCAATAAAGTGCTAGACCTACATGGGAATTTGATCAAAGGTTAACTCAATAAAGTGCACACACGCTATAAAGTGCTAGACCTACATTGCATCAAGCGTGAATGACTACATTAGACAACCCACTGTGTCAATTTGTTGGAACGACATCGTCGGTGCCTTTGGCAATGATCTTTTCTGCAACTTTTGTTGCTTTGTTTTTCATCCATATGATCAGTAGAGTTACTAATCTTTTCCCCATAGCAACTGCAAATATACCACACGTGCAAAAACATCTTCTCCTGCACCACTAATTCAGTATTCAGGTGTACTCCCTCCATCCCAAAAGAAATATGTCATTACGGGGTTCATGCCAGTCAAATTTTTCTTATGTTTGATTAGGTTTATAGAAAAACATTAGAAATATTTTTATCTCCAAATAAATTTGTTATAAAAATATATTCAGCGATTCATCTATTGATACTAATTATACACCATAAATATTGATACTTTTATATATATATTTGGTTAAAATTAAAAATGTTTAATTTCTCAGGAGTTGAAAATAACACTCTTTGGGACGGAGGGTAGTTCTTGATTTTCAGTGCAGTAGTAGGTATTGAGTTGAGCGCAGGACGCCAAGGGCTAGTTTACATGAGAAATTTTTTGCAAAATGCTACTGTAGCAGTTTTCGTTGTTATTTGGTAATTAGTGTCCAATCATAGTCTAATTAGGCTTAAAAGATTCGTCTCGTGAATTTCGTCTAAACTGTGTAATTAGTTTTATTTTTTATTTATATTTAATACTTCATGTATGCGTCCAAAGATTCGATATGACAAGAAATCTTAAAAAATTTGACATTTTGATGTGCAACTAAACAGGGCCCAAACACCTTGATTTGAGATGGAGCTTCATAGAGAGCGTACACCTGTGAACTGTGATCCTGACATCCTTACTGTACCTATATGGATCGAAGACAGGCCGACATAAAGTCATAAATCCATCTGTACCGCAAGTCCGCAAGGGATCGTCGGTTCGACACTTGGACCATTCTTCCCCGTTGTATACGTACCACACGGCCCACGATATCAACAGCCACAGGTATGGCAGTTTGATGGACCGAAAAAATGGCTGAATGAATAGCACCCACCCCTCTCAAAAGAAAAGAAAATGGAGCTGAATAGCAACTAGTGGGGAAAAAACTAGATTTGGCCGATGACTAGTCTAGTCTCCGATTCACCTGATATACGTACCTGATATGGAGAATTTCTCTAGAAAATTATCTTACGATGTTAACTGCACACAATCTGCTGCCTCCTGTTCGGAAAACAATCGGAACGGCGTGTAAAGCCTGAGACAACCTGGACTTTTTGAAACATTGAGACAACCTAAACTTTTTGAAACAACAACCTGAACTAAACACACACGTGTTCAAATCCGCACCGACAAATTCGAGCTACTCATCGACATAATTCAACACCAACCATCCACAAATTATGTGGCTCATAAAGATCATGACGGTCCCCATTTGTGGTACCAATTAACCAAGGGCTTTGCTATCAGCCACCAAAACGAGCTGCTATTAACGGCCCCCCTAGTCGGAAGCTACAAGCTAACTGTCAACTGCACGAGCAGGTGGCCAGCGACAGACGAGCAGCGTGGATAGAATGGGATCAAGTGTGCTGTGTGGTAGTGAGCGCCCTGAGCCCTGCCAAGCAGGATAGGCTTCACCTTCGAGCGAACTGCAAGTAGCACTTGCCCTTGTTTAATTGCATACACCAAGTTCTCTCCCTCCGTCCTCCCGAGAAGTTCTGCGGTGGCCTTTTAATCTCTGCGATTTTTTTTTTTTTTTTGTCTCTTGGACTCTTCCTCTTGTAAGGTTGCGTCCTGTGCTTCTGATTGGAGGCCGCCATGGATGAGGTCCCGGGAAGAAGTAGCTCCGTGAGAGCTACAAGGAGCATCTTCGGCGAAAGCATCCGTGGGAGGAAGCCGGAGATGAACAGGGCAATGAATGTTCTAGGACAACAGGTAACTTAACAAAATTCTGAATGATTCTTCAGAATTGTAGTAAAGCACTGTTTCCATTGAATTTCATATCGGTCTTTCAAATCAAAATTACGTTTCATCATATTCCTAAACAGTAAACACTTCGGTGCATGCAGAATCTGTCACCAGAGATCAAGCAGCTAGCAAAATCCAGCATGGATAAGCTGAATGAACGCAAGGCCGCCGTGGACAAAGAAAGAGCCGGCGCCGAGTCCGAGCTGTCGAGGGCGCGCGCCATGGCGAAGGAGCTGGAGCGCCAAATCGAGCAGGTCAAGGCCAGGGCGTCGTCCAAGAGGACAGAGCCCCACGCAATGCGGGCGACCAGGGCAAGCGAGAAGGGACCGGGTGCGCCGAGCTCGCAGGAGGAGCGCGACGCTGCCGAGTACGCGGAGGTGTCGCGGGAGCTGGACCGTGCCAGGCGGGAGCTGCTCAGGCTGCGGCTGGAGGTGAAGTCCGCGGCGGAGGCCAAGACCAAGGCCGAGAGCGACATCGTGGCGTCGGCGATAAACATCCAGTCCAACCTGCGCGCTGCCGACGAGATGAAGCGGCTGGTGGACGAGGCGAACGAGGAGCACGTCCTGGTGGAGCTCGCGCGCATCGAGGCCGAGCGGGAGCACCGCGAGATCGACGCCCAGCGGCGCGCCGAGGCCGAGCGGTTCGCCCGGGAGATGGAGGCCACCAGGGCCAAGATCGAGGCGCTGCGGAAGGACGTGAGCCGCGCGCGGGAGATGGAGGCGAAGCTCACCGTGACGACCGCCGACGTGGAGGTCCTGCAGGCCGAGATGGAGCTGGTCCGCGCCATGGAGAGGAACAGTGTCAAGAACGACGACGCTGCGGGTGCGGAGGCTGAGGACAAGGCTCTGCTGCAGACCGCGGAGGCCGAGCTGGACGCGGCCAAGAAAGAGCTGGAGAGCATCAAGGCCGGGAGCTTCCAGTTCATGACGTCCATGGACAGCGCGCGCACCGAGATCATGCGAGTCTCCGAGGAGGTGAACCGGCTCAAGGCGCAGGAGAAGAAGGCGGACGCGCAGGTGCAGCAGCTGAACGCCAAGCTGCTGAAGGCGAGGGCCCGGTTGGAGGCCCTCACGGCGACTAACGAGCGGTCCACGGCGATCGTTTCAAATATGACGTCGGCACTGCAGCAGCTGCGGGACGAGAAAGAGGCGGCGAGGAAAGAGGAGGAGCTGACCGAGCTTGAGCAACTGTGCGTGCGCGCCGAGAACGAGAACGTGAACACCGAGATCGCCGTGACCGAGGCACGGATACAGCAGTCTGTGAAGGAGCTCGAGGCGGCGAAGGCGGCCGAGGCCAAGGCGATGAAGAAGCTCAAGGCCGCCGTGGAAGGCACAATGCAGGCGAGGGCGTCACAGGGGTCGAGGACCATAACCATCTCGCGGTTCGAGTACGAGTACCTGAGCGGGCGCGCGGCGCTGGTCCGCGTGGTGGCCGACAAGAAGGTGTCCGCGGCGCAGGCGTGGGTGCAGGCGCTCAAGGCTGGCGAGAAGGAGCTGGCGGCGCGCTCGGAGGCCGCGGAGCGCGTGACAGCCGAGCTGCGCGCAAAGGAGGCCGAGGCGGCGGCGGAGGCGGAGAGAGTGGCGGGCGAGCAGAAGGCGCTGGAGCAGGAGCTGTACGACCTGAACGCGGCGGGGGAGCGGGACGGGCTGCTGTGCGCGTACCCGCGGCGGCGGTCGACCAGGGTGTCGGCGACGATGCGGAGGGCGAGGGCGCGGCGGTCGTCCGTATCGTCATCGGCGGGGATCCGGAACCCGCGGACGCCGTCGTTCACCATCAAGAGGAAGAAGAAGGTGATGCCCAGCCTCTTCAAGCTCATCAAGCAGAGGAAAGACAATAGCGCGAGCTGAGAGATGAATGAGCCTCGCCAGAGGAAAATGCATTTGTCAGCTTTGCTGCTTGTTCATGTCGTGTCAGGCTCAGGCGTCGCTGCGGTGCAATATGTACTGTTATCAGTCTGGCTTAGGAATGCAATAATGTTTTTCTCTCCCAGATAGCTTCGGTCGGTCTACGAGCCGCAAACCGAACAGCTAAAAAATTGGCTAAGTTTTGCCCGTGCTTAGCAATGAAAGCCATAAAATATAGAAATTCCACCGTGTCTCACAGCTGCAATTTTACCTTATCAGCATCAAAATAGTCTATGATCCAGCGGTAAGCAGGACAATATGATAACTCATCATTGTATCAAGCTTCAAGTGCTCAGCACTTCAAAAGTCAAAGCAAATTTATAGATATTTAATCTTTTCAATATTTTTCTAGCAAGATAAGTTGTTACACATTCCATAAAAATAAGATAAGTTGTTATACATTCCATCAAAAATAGTTTGCACATAAATAGAAAGGGGCTATTTGGATTTCAGCAACCTGCTGCCACGCCGCAAGCCCGCAAGCGTTTGTCACGACGCCACAGAGTGTAGCGTGGAAAATCGAGCCTCGCCTGTGCCGAGTTTACGGCAGTCCCGAAGAAAGAAATTACAGGTTGTATAACATATAATACCGTACCAAAAAAAGTACTATTTTTTAACCCATAATTTCTATGAGTAATAATTATTTTCTCTTTCTCTCTCCCAACTCTATCTTCTTCCTCCAATGAAAGTGTGGCACGAGCTCCCTAGAAACTGGTGGTTTCTCTCCAATGACGATTTCATGGTTTCTTGGTGCATTGGGTCAAGAGAAGACCTGGTTTCTTCACGATGAAACTATTTCTATGATTTTTGCTCTCTTTCTTCATTAATTACGTTGTCATGTCAGCATTTTACCTACGTGGCAAGTCATTTAATGAGGATAGAAACCATCATCAATACACCATTGGGACTTATTGATGATGGTTTCTATCCTTATTAAATGACTTGTCATGTAGGCAAAATGCTGACATGGCAACGTAGTTAATGAAGAAAGAGAGCAAAAATCATAAAAATGGTTTTCTCATGAAGAAACCAGGTCTTCTCTTGATCCAATGCACCAAGAAACCATGAAATCGTCATTGTGGAGAAACCACCAGTTTCTAGAGAGCTCGTGCCGCACTTCTATTGGAGGAAGAAGATAGAATTGGGAGAGAGAAAGAGAAAATAATTATTACTCATAGAAACCATGGGTTGGAAAGCAGTACTTTTTTGGTGCGTTATCCTATGTTATAGAAACTACTAGTTTTTTTCATTGGGACTGCCCTTACACACTACATAAACTTTTCTCCATGGCAACAGGATAGAGTCAAGAATTCTGACCACAACCAAGGATACCAGTTAGCGAGAATTGCTCCACCACCATACAAGACAAGAGAGGACTTTTCTCCATGGCATTCCACCGTAGTAGACAATGGTAAAAATTTTACTGGGACTTGTTCTCCATGGCATCCCACTATATAACTTTTTAAGCAACCTTATCTCGAGTTCACAAAGGAGCTCGTCCTCGTCATAATTATTATCTTTTGAAAATTGTGTAGCTGTTAATTGGAGTTGAGAATTTTTCAAGAAATCTGTTGCGAAAGAACATTTTGTTAGACTGCTTTTACCAACAACCAAATTTTGAAACATTTGTTAGACAACTTTTGCCAAACCATCTATTTCTTTGGAGGGGAGAAATGATTGGAACCTTTTTCTTCAAACAAAAGAAAAAAACACCATGAGTTCATATAAGAACTTTTTCCAGTGTTTGCTAACAAACATATATACTTTACCAAATCACAATTATGAGTTATAACAGGCTGCACAAACTCAAGAAGTCAGCTTGAGTTATCAAGTTGTCCCAAGAAGATGCAGATTTTTAATTAAAAAGGAAATAGGCAGATCTCATCAGGCAATGCCAATTCCATTGTCGGTTCTTGGAACCTATGTCCCCTTTACATGTAATAATGATTTAAGATCCTAAACAAGGAAATTGATGATAAACCACTTTTTTGCCTAAACCAAAAATATCGACCTAAAACGTGGAGGTTGGATTGCATTTTTTTGAACTTCTAAAGTAGAAAAAAGAGTAAATATTTAGAGAAATTCGCTAGCCAACTCAATGACCCGGTGAGCGAAAAAAATCCTTGCGGCCCTTGTTCGAAAGCCGAAGCCAAATTTTCCTTTTATACCAAGAGAAAATTACTTTCTTGGCCCTAAAAGAGTTGTGTTTTCTTTCTTAGTCCTTTTTGTTTTGAACTTTCCTATTTGGCCCCAAAACAAAATTTTATTCCTTTCTTAGCCCTTCCGTCCAATTCGTTTGTCTCTACTGTGAACCAGCCCTTTGGAGCAACGCGAGAAGACCGAAATACCCTTACATATTTGTGCTTCTGGTCGCGACGAAGCACAGCCGCTCGCAGTCGCGGCTTCGCGACTCGTACATGCACGTGCACGGGTCCGCCGGCAAAACCCTAGCCGCCACTTCCGGCAATGGAGAAGGGTGCCACCAACGAGCTCCCACCGGTGGTCAGGCCAGCTCTGAATATACCTCAGCACCATAGCATGGCGGCCAGGTTGGTCGTGGCTGCTCGAGTCACCCGCGCGGGCCTGGGCGCCGCCTCGGGGATGGCCGGCGCCGCGAGCCAGGGCGTAGGCTCGGGGCTAGCCGCCGCCACTAGCGACCAAGGAGACACGGCCCTAGCGACCAGCACGATCTAAGGAGGCCCCACGACGGCCGCGCGTGAGCCAGGGCGCCCCCAAGGGCCTGGTGGCTAGTGTGACCCAGGAGTCAAACACGGGGACAACGACCATTGTAGCCTAGACGTCCCAGGCGACTGATGAGTAGGCTTCACAGGCGACCGACAGAGACGACAATGACAATGAATTGCTCCGAGGGTGAGTATAGCATGGATGTGAATATGGTAGATTCCTTGTGTTAACAGGTTCGATTCTAGTTTCAAGTTGAAAATCAAATTGTTAGGCAACAGTAAGAGATGTAGAAAGGATGTCAAATGTCTTAGCTTGATGGTTGTGGAGTTAGATAGAACAAATTACAAGGATTTGGTAGAATTAGTTGTAGAGAAATATCCTCCAGGTTATATGGAAGTAGCTCCTATTATACTATGATAAAGCTCTAAAAACCTTCCCTGAAATAAAATCTGGCCAAGAGTTGATGTCTATGTTTGGTAAGCACTGCAAGAACAAGGTTATCATCATGTTCATTGTATAGCGAGGTCTTTCTGATCCATATGAGCCAGTAGCCAACCCAAAAACAACATAGAGCCTGATGAGGATAATTACCTTATAAACCCTACAACCATCGAATGAACATGTAGGTGTAGATGAAGAGGCAATGTGCTTAGAGAATGTACCAAAGAATGCACTACAGGTTGTTAAATCCAATGCATCTATTGTTCTTGTAGGGAACCACCAAAGAAGAGGGCCAAATCTGCCCAAAGTTGTGGCAGAACCTCCTAAGGAATTGGGCCCACATGCACCTATCGTTGTCTTAACAGACCTCGGATAGCGTACACGAGTTCCCAACAACTCAACAGGTCTGTCGGGTGTCCTCGGGAAACCCGAATCATCCACGTTTCTCTTTTCAAACAGGATCCCAATCACAGTCATTGCAGATTACAACAGTTTATTCAATTATATACCAGAGTAAAAGATAGCGGAAGTCTTAAGATAGTATTATTACAAACCAGTTGTTTTCAAACTTATAATACCATAAGTGTCATACGACCATAGTAGCAGAATAATATTACATTAACTTTATTTATCATACAAACTAGTGCCTTGTCCAAAGGCCATTCATCACTCCTCATCGTCATTGACTTCGAACACAGACATGCAGCAGGGACCAAAACAAGCCTGCGCATGCGACTCACCTACAACAAGGGTTAACAAACCCTGAGTACAAAAGTACTCAACAAGACTAACCCGACGTAACGGGGTGTAAGACTTTCGAGATGCAGGGATTTGGGGCAAGATAAGGATGTAACAAGATTCAAAAGTTCTTTGCCAAAAGCTTACTATTCTTCATTCTATTTTCAAGTTTACCACTAAGTTCTTTTAGTTCATTATCTCAACTAAATATACATTTCCCATATTCCATTCCTTCTCATTCCATTCTTTTTCTCATATTTTAGTAACTCACCAAGATCAGATTGCTTCAGAATGAATCGAGTCTCCATATCCATGAGCACCTGCAATTCAATTGATTCAAGTCCCAAATGGGATTCCTTATCACACGACATATGTAGAACTTAATCTTGCATATATCAACCTCGCTACGGATCCTCCCGCATTAAGCCGTCTCCACGCCACCCGAGAGCACAAAGACACCTCAAATCCGCCACATTCCAACCCACGAGGGTACACGCTACTCCCCGCCATCTCTCCACTCCCAAAGTCGCGGGCATTCGCCTTAGCATCGGATTAGTCAAGTAGGCTTACTTGGAGTATGTGACCAAGACTACAAAGTGTCTCGCTTCGTAAGATCCACAATGAGTGGCCTTTAAGCGACATAGTCGGCAACATTACCCATCATTCAAGATAAGTCACACAGCTAGTCTCTAATTCATTCTACATTCTTTCTTTCTTTGGCCAGTATGCCATCTTTGATTGTATCGAAATTTTTACTTTGAAAGCCTACCATAAAGCATACTAAGCACACTACGCCTTTATAAATGAAAACATCTTCAAGGATGGTAAACAAGTAACAAGGTAGGTAATGCATCAAGTAGGTAAAATTTGAAGTAATCAACTTAATGCAAGTAAGTAACATAGGTGATAAACTTTTCAAAGTAACAAGGTGATGGCTTAATGCATAAATCGGGCTTGCCTTCGTTGATTTATCTCGTGTTCCGGATCGATTACACGATTATCAAATCTCGTGACAACCGGGATTCTTCCGAACTTGCTCAACTAGGATCGCTTGTTCTCGGGTTCTACACGAAATGATA